CATAAGATTGCTCATATTTTGTTTTTGTGTTTATTTCTCATGACATGTAATACAGAGGTTTAATGGCATCTACATTAACCTCTATCTCCTTAGGTCTTTTAAACTTAATCTGCCTTATTTTAAAACAGTGTTTTCTTATCGCATGTGAATCAATGCGTAATTTTAGCCTTGATTGACATAAAAGCAATCAATATTTTATTTTTTTTATTTTACACATACTAATGGGTCGTAATAAAACATTCTTGATTCAGTCTATATCAGAGTCATGTCTTTATTTTAAATGTATACATTTTAATCAATAACCTTTACATTTTTTTCCCCCCATTGATTAGGGGCCAATATAGGTCAGCAAGGGGAGACTAAAATTTATGGTGAAATTATAGCATTTCGCAATGATAAATAGCTTTTAAGAGTAAAAGATTTGAGTTTAAATTTGAGGCCATTATTGAATAGTTATTATGCTCCTAGGCTCTTTTTTAAAATAATTAAGCCTTTTTTAAAGAAAATGATGTTCAAAGCATACATTAAAAATGAATCAAAAAGTTGTCATGTAAAGTTAATTTTGCAGAGGTAAGAATCAATTTTTAAGTGTTATTTCAAAGCAATAGGGATATACATTATTGATTACAAATTAAACAATTTTTTGATTAATAAATTTACGATTAAATTTATTTAGTTATTAAACATAGTGTTAATACATAAATCTACGTTATAAATATTTATATTCAAGTGTAATCTGATCACACTTCATTGATTGTTAATGTAGTTTAAATATTTAAAACCTACAATGTTCGAATAATACAGCTGATAGAATTTCACATATGCACATGCCATGAGAGACATATTTGTTATTCAGTCAATAATTTCAATTCTTAAAGTTGTGTTATGGAAAAAAAACAAGGTACATATGTAAACGTGATAGAGTCATTTGCCAGGTAGACATAATATGTACATATCGATTTAGAAATCTTGACCAATATTCATTTCTAAAATACTTTCGTACTCTTTAAGTCTGTCATGAAATGATATGCTATAAATGAGTTCCTAGTTACGTGTATAAACGCAGATAGACACCAAAATAATTGTAAATAATTAATAGGCAAACTATTCTTTGGTTTTTAATGTAATAGTTAAAAAAACATTTTTTTGCATACTTTTTGATACAAAAGGAATACTTATAACACACTGTAATGCACGATGTTTCATGTTCTTTATTATTGAAAAGTTGACAATACATATGAGCTGACAACAATTTTCAAAGGACTTAAAGTATTTGGCGAAAACCCAGTGATAGTTAAATATTGCACCTTCTGTTTGGTAGACTACAACCACTCGACTCGTCCCGTAAACTAAGAGCGACTTATAACCAGTTAGGGGTATTACTAATAAAAAAAGGCAGACATCTATTTAAAGCATTTAAAATGTCTCCCTTCTGACCGTGGCAATCAATCATTGGTGGGTATTGCTGAAGGTTGTATGAGAGTAACAACAGGTTTAAAGGCCATATAAAAGCCGTGCCAATAAGATATAAAGATATCGTTTAAAATTGTCTCTTTTATAACAATTTTCATAAATATAATCAGTAAAATATACAATTGTAAATCAGTTTAAGGACCACAGGGTTTTACGTTATAAGAATAATTTAGTGCACCAATGGTTAGATCGAAACAAAAAATGTATATCCCAAATGTTTTCGTGGATAATACAGAACAATTATTAAAACGTTCAGTGCTTTAGGTCCAATACATTTGAGTCTATAATTTAAGAATTCTAGCATACAAACTAATGTTAAGATTTATTCACTCAATTTTAAAGTATAGATTCTAAGTAACTTTTGAAAGCTATAAATTGGTTGAGGTGCCGAAGTGGGGGTCCATGATGTTACACTTGATATGGTGACAATTAAATTATTTTAGAACAACATCTATAGCATTTAAAATTTGTATAATTGGTAGGTCTATTGTTAGGACAATAAAAAGAACCCTTTAGGCCAATATCAATGTAAACGATTAAAGTTGTAAATCGATTTATCAACAAAAGTACACAATGGAAGTTTTCTCTGTGTTTGATTTTAATCAAATGATTAATATGCAAGGTATCAGCCCTTTTTTGGATAACTTACATATGTCTACGTACAATGCTTCTTAGTGCCCCTTCCAGACCGAATATGTATATATATATATTAAATAT